CAAACCAACCCCCAACCCAAAGTCAATGGTTTAGTTTTTGCTTGAATGTTTTAACATTTTCTGGGAATCCAGTTATATATGTTGGCTTAATTGGCTACACTGCAACGGCCACCCCAACCGCCCTCATATGATGTTGGGGCAACTGGCAAAGGAAGAAATTAAACTGAATGATGATGACAGACGTCCTAAAATGAAAGACAATGCGCTACAGTGTCACACTTGTCCCATTCTCATTGATAGTGTAGGCTCCTTGCTGGCTGCTGTGACTCCTAATATTAGGGCAATATTAACTACATTGCAACCCATCATTTCCTCGGGGTTGTTGCATAGGGCACCCACTAACTAATTACAGAGGTATAAATAACCAGGAAGGAGAAGACATCCAGTCTTGAATATTAATAGTGAGAAAGAACAGGTCTTGACACATCTTGCTTATTTTGCTTAAGGAGACTTTTGCAGCTCCGGTTCAAGTCACAACACAGCAAAGTGCTGAAGGCAAATATTCTGCACCCAAGCAGAGTTCAGACAGCATGGCCTAATTAACCCCTAAAGGGCTGAACGTAGGAGTTAAGGAAATCTGACAACGGTTTGACATGAGCTTGAGTGAAGAGGAAAGAATCTGTCTTGACTCTTCTACTGTAGTAGCTCCTGGATCCACAAATGTGATGATGGTTCTTTTAAGGAAGGGCTTCCCAGCCTTGGCCATCATAAGACAGGAGAACTTCAACTCCCAGAATTCCTTGGCTTGAGAATGCTAGGAGTTGAAGTCCATGGGTCTTAAAGTTGCCGAGATTGGGAGTGTTGTGGCCCGCTGGCTGGCAGCAGAGTCGGACAGTGAAGAGGTTGGGGAAGAACATGGGCCAGTCCTGGAGACTGAGGAAAGCCCAGATGAGGGCTCTGCATCAGAGGGAGCTAGACAGCAGCAAGGCAGAGGAACAGCTGGAGCCTGTTCCCAGTGTGCGCATGCGCAGAGCTGCCAGAAGACAAGAACAACTAAGAAAGAAGGGTCGATTTGGGAGTAAAGCCACACCTTGGAGGTGATTGGCCTCTCCAATAAATAACAAAAGATAGAGATATTGGAACACTGCTGTCATGTCTCCCCTAGTCCTTCTTTCTCTTAAACTAGACATACCCAGTTTCTGCAACCGTTCTTCATATGTTTTAGGGGACTGGAGATTAAAACATATGAAGAACGGTTGCAGA